CCCTTATCACAGTAACCGGGTTACAAGATAGAACTTTTGGGATAAAAAGAAGGTGTACAGTGTATTTTGGCTACTGACAAAATAACACTAAACAAGTGATATGTATATAAAGTAGTCTAAACACTTTATTACTAATACTGCAGATAAAAGTAATGGAGTATGGCAATTTGAGAATTTGACAAAATGAATTTTCCGTCTCAACACAGTTCACATGGCCCTCAAATTTATATTCATAAAAGTGACTCTTTGAAATGGTGTTATATCCATTACAACCGTAGGTGCCTCTTTGAAAGGCGGTTAAGCCTTCTAGTGAGAACCGGTGAGGCCAAAGGATATGTATATCCTTTTAAAACATTTTAAAATTTGTGATTATCACAAAAGTGCCGCAAACATCATTCTTAAAATTGCAAAATTCAATGCTCCGTATTTGAACAAGCACATACGAGCAAACAAAAATAAAGTAATATTATTATAATCATATGAGATCACACGTGCACAATGTGCAGGTGGCGGATCTAGGCATCGGGGGTCAGTGTATGCACAAAATTATACATGAACATTATATGTACATAAAATTTCAAAGTAAAAACATCATTACAAATATGAACACTAGAATAAAAAAATGTAATGTGCACTGTAAAAAGCAATAAATTCATACTACGTAATTATTTATTGCTATATAATTTCATGTCAACCAAATTAACGTATTTGACATATATACATGTATAAGTGTATACCATTATATTGTTATACCACCCCCGTCCCACATACGAGCAAACAAAAATAAAGTAATATTATTATAATCATATGAGATCACACGTGCACAATGTGTTCTCATAATATATAATAATAATCAATATATTTAAATAACATCATTTAAATAAATCACATTGTTTATAAAATGATTAAGGACCATGTAAATTAATAATTGAGCTTTATTTTCAATAAATCTCCAACAATCCTCCTCCATTTATTGAAAATAAATATACTCAATCCTTGCCAAATAGACCACTTATCAAGACTTATGCATAATTGAAAGTGTCGTAACGATTGAACTTTCATTTAGTGCAATATTCTTTACAATATTTCGGATCATAATAGTAGACTAAGCTTTGAACTATATAACCACTTTGAAATACTGAAGATATTACACACATAAGTCTTTATACAATTTCACTTAGAAACTTGACACCATTAACAGCCTTGTGTCCATATCCATTCATGAGCTCCAACAAGTAAAGCCTTAAACTTGGTGAATCGGCTTCCATTCTAGCTCACATAGGTAGATCTTTAAAAATCTGTGTTCTGCAATAAAACACTTTATCAAAAGATCTATTAAGACATAGTCAACCTCATTACACATTGCAGACTCAAGCACTTACCTCGGGATGGTTATTATTCAAAAGTACTTCAACCACAGAGTGACTTACTCATCATCATTGAACTCAAGATCTAGCGTTGTACTAGACGTTGAGTTGCGCTTTCTTTCACTTGTGATTATTTTCAAAAGGCTTTAACCCCATCCCTTTTGCAGTTTTGTACACCATGTCTCTTGGCATTGCTTTTGTAAAAGGATCCGCCAATTTCACATGTGATCGTACAAAATCAATCACAACAACTCCAGAACCAATAAGTTCCCGCACATAACTGTGTCTCACTCCTATGTGCCTTGACTTACCATTGTACACATGGTTATAAGCTTTTGACAGAGTTGATGCACTATCACAATGGATTGATATCGGAGCCATTGGTTTAGGCCATATCGGAATTTCTGACACTAAATCCTTTAGCCATTCCGCTTCTTTACAAGCTGATGCTAAAGCTATAAACTCCGAAGCCATGGTAAAGTCCGTGATACAAGTTTGTTTCTTAGATGCCCATGAAATAGCACCTCCTCCAAGAAGGAATAACCATCCACTTGTGGATGAATAATCCTCTTGATTAGTTATCCAACTTGCATCCGTATAACCTTCTAATATAGAGGGTTCACTCTTATAACATAAGACGAAGCTCATTGTTTTCTTTAGGCACTTCAGCAATCGCTTCAAGGCTTGCCAATGAAATATACTAGGATTACTAGTATATCTACTTAGCTTTCCTACCGCAAATGCAATATCTGGCCGGGTGCTAGTCATTGCATACATCAAACACCCAATCACCCTAGCATATTCAAGCTGTGATACAGCGTTCCCACTATTTGGAACTAATTTCCAACTAGGATCCATGGGAGTGGAAACTGGTGAACAATCCAAACTCCCAAATCTTTTCAACACTTTCTCTATATAGTGAGATTGTGTTAAAGTGATAGTATCACCTTGTTTAATTATCCTAATTCCAAGGATAACTTCTGCTTCACCCATATCTTTCATGGAGAAGTTTGAACAGAGGAAAGCTTCTTATTTCTTTCACTTGCCTCAAATCAGTGCAAAAAATGAGCATGTCATCCACATATAGACAAATAATGACACCGTTACCGTGCTCATTAAATTTGCTATACACGCACTTGCCTGATTGGTTAATTTTAAAACCATTTTTCAGCACCACCTCATCAAATCTTTGATGCCATTGTTTAGGTGTTTGTTTCAGACCATACAAGGACTTGACAAGTTTACAAACTTTCTTTTCTTGTCCTTTAACAACAAACCCTTCAGGTTGTTTCATATACACCTCCTCCTCCAATTCACCATTTAAGAATGCAGTTTTGACATCCATTTGGTGAATTACAAGATTGTGAATAGCCGATAAAGCAATTAACAATCTTATGGTAGTTATTCTAGCTACCGGTGCATATGTGTCAAAGTAATCAATACCATGTTTTTGTTTAAAGCCTTGTGCAACCAATCTAGCTTTAAACTTGTCAATGGTACCGTCTACTTTCATTTTCTTCTTGAAAATCCATTTACAACCGATTGGTGTGCAACCCGGTGGTAAAAAACTTAGAACCCAAGTATTATTGCCCATGATTGAATCCATTTCATCATTCACGACCTCTTTCCAGAAGGAAGCATCTTGTGATTTCATTGCCTCCTCAAAAGAGTTAGGATCCTCCTCAAAACTATAACAATATAGTGTTTGAGTTTCAAGGGTCTCTCTTGATCCCTCAACCAAATATAATTGGAAATCGGGACCAAATGACTTTTCTTTTCTAGCCCTCTTACTTCGTCTTATTTCAGGCTCATTTTCATGATCCTTTTCCAGTTCATGTAAGTGTGAATTACTTGGACCGGGATCAACATCCTTTGGCCTAGGAATAGAAGTGAACCGCTTCTCATCAAAAAGAGCATCCCTAGACTCAATAACAGTGTGAACCGCAATTGAATCATTCGGTTCAATAACATAGAATCGATAAGATTTACTATGTTCAGCATATCCAATAAATATGCACTCTACCCCCCTTTTCACCTAACGTTTTTCGTTTAGGTTCCGGTAATCTCACGATTTCCCTACAACCCCATACCCTAAGATAACTTAGCTGGGGTGTTCTTTTGTGCCAAAGTTCATATGGAGTAATCTTATTTTTCTTGTTAGGCACTCTATTAAGAATATAACAAGCAGTTAACATAGCATCACCCCAAAATCCATTACTTAAGCCAGAATTAGACAACATGGAATTAACCATTTCTTTCAAAGTTCTATTCTTTCTTTCAGCAATGCCGTTTTGTTGCGGCGTGTAAGGGGCTGTTGTTTCATGGATTATTCCAACGGATTCAAAAAACTTAGGCTCATAATATTCTCCCCCTTTGTCAGTTCTAAGCCTTTTTACTTTCTTTCCTGTTTGCAACTCAACTTCCGTTTTAAAAACTTTGAATTTATCCATTGCTTCATCTTTTGAAAATAAAAGATATATATAACAATATCTTGTGCAATCATCAATAAATGTGACTACATATTTTTTATTTCCAAAAGAAGGAGTGCTATGGAAATCACACAAATCACTATGCACTAATTCAAGCATGTTGGATTTTCTTTCAACACTTTGAAAAGAATTTCTTGTGATTTTGTTTAACATGCAAGTTCTACACTTTTCTATGTTAATATTAAAAGGAGGAATTAATCCTACTTTTGACATGTCACTTAATCTACGATAATTAACATGACATAACCTATTGTGCCACAAAGAAGAATCACAAACCATATAAACAGAATTTACTACTTTATTAGCAACACTTAGTTTGAACATGCCATTACAATAGAAACCTTGGCCTACAAATACACCACCCTTAGATAAAATAAACTTATTTGCTTCAAAGCTAAGTTTAAACCCAAAGTTATTTAGGATTCCACCGGAGACAAGATTTTTCCGGATTTGTGGTACAAAGTACACATCATTAGGAATTAATTTCTTTCCGGAAGTTAATTCCAACTCTACTTGGCCAATTCCTTGAATTTGCACAGTAGAATCATTTCCCATGTATAAGATTGGCCCTTCTTCCAACTCTTTTAGAGTCTTAAAAGTCTGCCTATCTTTACATACATGTCTTGTGGCTCCGGTGTCAATCCACCAAGATTCATCATCCTGCACAACACAAATTTCAGAAAGCATAGCTACAAAAATCATGTTGTTATCAACATCATTTGTAACTACAAAAAGATTCTGACCTTGGTTGTCTTGGCCACCGTTAGGATGACCATTCAATTGGGCCTTTTTCTTCTTCACCTTCGGGCAGTCCTTCTTGAAGTGTGGACCACCACATTCCCAACAAGAGCCTACTTTCTTATCTTTCGGCTTCTTTTGAAACTTGGAACCTTTGGTGAATTTCCCGGGACGTTTTTTATATTTCTTAGTCCCACTTGACTGTCCCTCCTCCATAATATTTATAGAGGAAATTGGAAGGTCGCTCTTTTTACCATTGTCACCTTCACACAACTTAATGCCTTCTTCAATTTGAAGTCGGCGACCAAGTTGCTCCATTGACAAATCCTCCTTTTTACGTTTGAGGCTATTTTTCACTTCCTTCCATGAAGTGGGTAATTTGTCGATTATAGAACCGACAACAAAGGTTTCATTGACATGCATGTTGTGTATCAAAAGTTGATCATATAAACGTTGAATTTCATGAAATTGTTCCATGACCGGACGGGAATCAACCATTTTGTAACTATTAAAGTTACTAATGAGAAATTTCTTACTCGAAGCATCCTCGGTCATGTACTTAGATTCTAGGGACTCCCACAACGTTTTAGCATATTCAACATTTTGATACACATCAAACAGAGAATCACACATACCGTTCAAAATATGCCCACGACAAATGTAGTCGTCGTTGTCCCACTTTATGCGGCGGCGGCTTGTTTCCAAAGTCTCGTTTTCATCATCCTCGGGCGGCCTCGGGGTGCTTAACACATAGACGACCTTCAAAGTAGTGAGCAGAAAATGCATCTTTTTCTGCCACCTTCGAAATTCCACACCTTCGAACTTTTCCAATTTTTGAAAATTGGTGTTGATATCACGTTGAGTAGCGGCCATATTTTCGGAATAGTAAACTTTTAGATTGTTAGAACAGGAGGATAAATATAGTAAAATATAAGGGTGTAAATATGGCTGGACCGGATATCACTTCTAGTCACGTATCAAATACGCTTTCCTAAAAGTTTACTATCTACCCTTATCACAGTAACCGGGTTACAAGATAGAACTTTTGGGATAAAAAGAAGGTGTACAATGTATTTTGGCTACTGACAAAATAACACTAAACAAGTGATATGTATATAAATTAGTCTAAACACTTTATTACTAATACTGCAGATAAAAGTAATGGAGTATGGCAATTTGAAAATTTGACAAAATGAATTTTCCGTCTCAACACAGTTCACATGGCCCTCAAATTTATATTCATAAAAGTGACTCTTTGAAATGGTGTTATATCCATTACAACCGTAGGTGCCTCTTTGAAAGGCGGTTAAGCCTTCTAGTGAGAACCGGTGAGGCCAAAGGATATGTATATCCTTTTAAAACATTTTAAAATCTGTGATTATCACAAAAGTGCCGCAAACATCATTCTTAAAATTGCAAAATTCAATGCTCCGTATTTGAACAAGCACATACGAGCAAACAAAAATAAAGTAATATTATTATAATCATATGAGATCACACGTGCACAATGTGTTCTCATAATATATAATAATAATCAATATATTTAAATAACATCATTTAAATAAATCACATTGTTTATAAAATGATTAATTAAGGACCATGTAAATTAATAATTGAGCTTTATTTTCAATAAATCTCCAACATTTTTGCTATCTTTTAATAATAATTTAGTTATTTGATTTAAAAAACAAGTTTTGCACAAATTATAATAGATCATCTACAGTGCCTCAGTGGACCCATTAGAACATTAAAACTGAACAATTTAAATATTAATAAAGGGTGTTGCTACTTGTACACACCATCTAGTTGTCTATTTACACAATAGCTTCTGAACGATGTGTTTGTGATTAGGGGGTGTACAAGAAATGTGTACAAATAGCCTTTTCCATTAATAAATGATAGAATTATGATTTGAATGAATCAAATGCATTGTGGAAGTACAAATGTGTACAAGTGATATTTAGAGAGTCCACCCAAATATTACTAATAACAAAGTGATGGGAAAAAATATGAATTATTAACTATTAGTGACTATAATGATATTCGAATTTCGAAGTATACATCATAGTGACTACATGTACTTACTCTGATGTATACTTTGATTACAATTATAGTAACTAAAATAATACTCCAATCGTAATATTAGTAATTTTTTTCTTATTAAATAAGTAGTTCTAAACTTCTTTATAAATAAGAAATAATTATATATATGTGTCTAAAATAAATGTTGTTTATAAAATAAGTGACTATAGTATGTAGTGACTTAGTAATACTAACTTATGTTTAGCTCTTACATTTAAGTGATTATGAGACTATATACTATGGTAACTATGAATCATATATTTGTAAATAAGTTTCATTTCAATAATATTTTATATAAAAAGCCCAATAAAAAAATTATTATTTATATGATCATGTCACTAAGATATGAGTCTGACCAATTTATAATCAATGTAAAACTGTACATACTATGAGCTCGTTTGGTAATACTCAAATCGGCTATATTGGCTGATTCTGCTGAAATTTATAAAATTGGGGCTAAAGTGGCTGAATTGGTTGATTCTGTTGATTTATGAAATAATTATATTTAAAATATATTTTATGAATAAAATAAATAGAAAATTATATGAAAAAACAGCTATAATGATCCTCAATAGTAACTTCATTCAATACAGCCATAAAAGTAACTTCAACCTTATTTTTTCTCATTATTATACAATTCCACGCACGAAATCAGAAGTTACATGTTCGATGTACCGAAAAACAGTGACTAAGCGGTCATGTACTCATGTTTATTAATTTTCTTATAGTTAAAATTATTTTCAACAAAAAAGTTTGACTCGTGTGCAGCATAGCTAAGTTCATATTTGGACACCTCTTAGTACATATTACCAGTACTTGGCCTGTTTCAATAAGTATAAGCAACTTTTAAAAGCATAATATATATATTGTCATATTATAAAAATCAGATTTTATATAATCTTTCTAGTTTAAATACACTCCTACATTTTGAGTCCGACAAAAATGACATCTTTGGATGGAACGTTTTGAAAGGGGTGGGGTGGAAGAGAAAAAAGTGAACGTTTAGTCCATTTTTGATAAACAAATGTTTCTTAAAATGAACAAAAATGATGAGCAGGGGTGGAGACAGGGGTGGCTGGCTGTGGCCCCTGCAAGAAAAAATTTGTGATGTATATATATATGTATAAATATTTATAAGTAGTAAAAAATATAGTGAAAAATAAGTATTGGCCCCCGGCTATATAAATTCCTTAAGCCCCGGCCCCTGTAACTTGACATTCCTGGCTCCGCCACTGATGATGAGTTGTGGAACCGGGATAATAAATATTAAGTGAAAAGTTGAAGCAAATCTGCTAGAATGAGGAAGACGCAAATTATACTACGTACGTACTATGGACCGGTATACAATGACATGATATACCGGTCCCAAATACGACAATTTTCTCTCTGGACAAGCATTACGGAATATTTCTTTATTTTCCCTCCATCCTTCTAGGTTGTGATTTCTTTCTCTTTATTTTTCTTTTTTATTTTCTTCAATTCTTTTATCCTCTCCAACAAAATATAAAAATTAAACACTGTTCCAAGCTACTCAGGCCTCCCAAGGGTTTTCACTAATGACATTGACTCGCCAAGAGCTACTCATGTCCCTGCCCTTTATCACCTTCTGGATTTGATCACAAAGCCCTCCAGAACGTCTAACACTAGTCTAGAATACATGAGTGTATTGCTAAACTACCATTACCAACTAATTTAAGCTCTATAGATGTGTATGAATTGTAGCTAGTCTAAGAGCATTAGACGAGTGGGGTGGCAGCCGAAGTGTAGAAGGGAAATCAGCTGGCTGGATTTCTTCGTGTAGAGTATGATTTCCTTCTATCCACTTGGCAATCCTGCACTCCTTATGTATTTATAGACTTGATCATTGCATCTCCACCGTTGGATGAGGAAATGAATCTTGACCGTAGCTTGATCTACTTGTTTTGTTCCACTTGACTGAGGCAACATGGTTTGTCTTTGTCACGTAGTGACACGGATCAACAATCTTCAACTCAACTTGTTTACACATTTCAATGCAAGATAAAAGATTTTTTATCTCCATTTTCTTACGCGTAGAAACTAGTATAAAGCTGAGTGATATTTCAATGCTTCCTTACAAAATCTCGAACATTTGCTTTTAGTAAAATAAATTTATAAGAAATTTATAATGTGATTAAAATCTCTTATAAATTTACTTTTCATCAAATTGTTATTTTGACTTCGAGTTGGTCTTTTGTTTAATTATTTTGTGCTAAGAGAAGAGAGAATTGGATTTCGGATGAGTTTAGCTGAAAACCCAGTTTTCAGCTGGCTGCCCAGAAAATCAGCTGGCTGCCGATTTCTGGTGATTTCCAGCTAGCTCATTCCTAACAATGTATACCAGTTAACTCTTTTTCGTACCTTTTCTTTTTTACTACCTCCGTCCCTTGAAACTTTGCCAAGTTTGACCGGCACGGAGATTAATAAACTAAAAAATGTGTGGTTGAGGTTTGTGCAGGGGAGAGAGAATTAACTTGAACCACAAATTCTTTACTTAAAATAGAAAGTGGCAAAGTTATTGGGACAACCAAAAAAGGAAAGTTGACAAAGTTTTAAGGGACGGAGGGAGTATCTTTTTCTTTTTGTTTTATGGTACATTTACTTCTCTTTTAGTACTCTTTGCTTTTTATGAGTACTTTACCACTAAATATGGAGCACATTACAAATAAACAAAGTAGAACATAACTAGTAGACTAGTCTAATACAAAGATAATAAAAAGATGTGACATCATCAAAACTAATACATTATCATCATAATCTAGGGGACCTAACAGATAGAATATGATATTACATTTTCATCTGTGTGGTTTACATTTCCATATGTGTGAGTTATGTTTATAGAAATTTTCTGGAGTTACATTTAATAGTATATAGAGTTACATCTTCTTGTGCGCGATTTACATCTTCTTATGAGCGCTTTACATAACTCCGCCATGAGATCATTTTTTTTTGTATCATGCTTGTCCCAAGCCAGGATAAAGGAGGAGGGTGCTGTGGTAGGCGCGTGACAGCCAACAGTATTACTTAGTCACACCACATGACATGAATCGAAATATGAATATCGCTACAGCTAGGTCGTCGCCCGTAAGCGACGCGTCATCCCTCCGCCTGGGGGTGGTGTCAAATATGCAAGCGCTACACTTCATAGGCCTGGGTGTGGTGATAAGAATGCTAAGACTGCTAGGTCGTCGCCCGGAAGCGACGCGCCACTCCAATGCCCGGGGATGGTGTCAAATATGCAAGGGCACGACAGGATGCTAGATTGCATTTTGGGACATGGAATGTTGGCTCGCTTACGAGAAGATCATCTGAGATAGCTGAGGTTATGAAAAGGAGAAATGTCAGCATAATGTGCATGCAAGAAACTAAGTGGGTTGGAGAAAAGGCACGTGAGATCAATCCTGGAGGTTTTAAGTTGTCGTATTCGGGGAGAGAAAGGAACGGAAATGGAGTAGGCATTATGGTGGCACATGATTATGTTCAGGGTGTGGTGGAAGTCTTCAGAAAGAAGGACCGCATCATGAGCATTAAGTTGATAATATGAGATGAGATCGTGTCAGTGGTAAGTGTCTATGCACCACAAATGGGATTGGATGCATCTATCACTCAAAAATTTTGGGAGGAGGTGGTGCGACGAATGCCAAGGGGAGAGAAGTTGGTCATAGGAGGTGACCTCAACGGGCATGTGGGCCCGAGTCGTGATGGTTTTGA